TTATTCAAAAAATAACAAAAATTGCTTCTTCTTCCTCATTTCTTGACCGATTTTGATTTGGTTTGCCTTATCTGGTAGAGCTAACTTTGGTACACTAAACTGTTACACAGAATTTTTTGAAATTGTTCTCCATTAATTAATTATGGTAATTTATGCAAATTTATTCCAAAAATAACAAAAGTTGCTTCTTCTCCCTCATTTCTTGACCGATTTTGATTTGGTTTGCCTTATCTGGTAGAGTTAAATTTGGAACACTAAAGCTCTACACAGAATTTTGAGATTTTGCTCCATTGGTTATTTATGGTACTTGATGCAAATGAAATGAAATTATGTCCCTTCCAGGGTATCAAATTTTTATTTTTTGATAAGTTCAAAAGTGTACCCCATAAAATTTACGATATTTGTTGCTGCAAGATGTGAATGAGTGCTACATCATTGACGTTCTGGTTTATCATATTGAATTGCGTTATGCAGGCGAGACCGCCGAGAGCGAAAGGGAAGAAACTCAACTTTCTAGAAATGTGATTTTCTCTTTGAAATTCAGGTACCGTCTGCCAAATTAATTTTTGGTTTCCTCTCTTCAAATTCATTTAAATCACTCATGCGTGAAATATGCATTATATGAGTCGCATCAAATGAAAGAAGAGGGTCTAAGCTTTCCGTGTCATTTATTAATTATAATTGTGATTAAGTTATGATAAAACATCAATAATTCTCGGTTTCGTTTTTTCTGGGACGCACTGTATGTAAGGTTATTATAGAAAAATTTGCCATTTACCAATCTCATAATTATATTTAACAAATATTTCTAAAGTGCTTTCTAAACTTAACTACAATCTTAACCACAAAAGATGAGTACAAAGTTATGTCAATAAATAAGTACATACTCCTATCAAAATTCCTTTACTTTTACTTCTGCTCGTGTAAAACATGTATCAAATTACTGTTAGAAAGGGAAGGTGTGGACAGAGGGAGTTCCAACAACAAATCGAAATAAAACTAGATTTGTAATACTTGTTTGGAACAAGTATAGGTGGGCTGATCCAACAAAAAATTGAGACAAAATGAAGAATACATGTAAGATAGCTTTTTGTCTCAGCTACAACATACTCAAAGTTCAGCGTAAATGAAGCTAAAACGATGTAGATATTGCTCGCGAAAGACGGGAATGTAGAATCAAGTTTTGAGAAAAAGTCATGTCCCATAGATTATACACGCAAAATGTAAACAATTGAAATGCCTCCTTTAATCGCAAAAATACGCTATGATGCCTTTGTCAAAATGAAAAATCGTGGGGGCTGAATTTGTAGAGAATTGTCTCAGCTAGAACATATCAAAGTTTTGAAGACAATCGATCAATTTTCACAAAGATACAATCAATTTTCCAAAAATATGCTGACGTCTTAATATGCAAATTGAAATTTTGAGTTCGGAGGCCATTATGATGATGTCATGAGTTAATTGAGGGTCAAATGAGGCATGAAATCATATCTCCGATTCATACTCAATCAAAATATGAAAAAAAATTGGGGTCACCTTGCATCATAAAGAGCTACAATGGATTTTGCATAGGCATGTTTTTGCCCATATATGCTATGTATTACAAGAGCTCGCGCGCACGGAAACTTATGTTAAACGGTCCATCATTCCGTCATATATAGTCATAAAAAGATAAAAATGCTATCAATTTGTTTGTAAAAATATGTGGAATATTATGAAAGAAAAAATGGCGATTCTATGTTGTGCAATAGTTTTACGCGCGAAAACGTGCACGCATAAGCGTGTGCCCGATTTTTGTCTCGCCTGCGTAGCAAAAAGCGAGACATAGGCGCCGCTTTTCCGGTGACGGCGGCGGCGACGGCGACGGCGACGGCGACGGCGACGGCGACGGCGACGGCGACGGCGTCAACATCAAAAACTTAACCTAAGGTTAAGTTTTTGAATTTTTGGTATAATTTTTAAAGTACAAGTTCTTAGTCAATGAAACTTTGACTATAGGGTAATCAAGTATCCCCAATCATGTGAGTAGAATTTCAGATCACAAAGTCAAGGTCAAAGGTCATTTCAGGTCAACAGACTTGGACTATGTTGTAGCATCATTCTCGAAAAGTTAACCTAAGGTTAAGTTTTTGAATTTTTGATATAATTTTGAAAGTATAAGTTCTTAGTCAATGAAACTTGGACTATAGGGTTATCAAGTCTCCCCAATCATGTGAGTAGAATTTCAGGTCACTAAGTTAAGGTCAAAGGCCATTTAAGGTCAACAAACTTAGACTTTGTTGTGGCATCAACATTAAGATTTTCAAAATGCTTCTTCTTCGTTATTTTTCAACCGATTTTGATTCTGATTGTTTCATATGATAGGGCTAGAAGGGGATTTAAAATTTCTACACAGAATCATGAAATTCATTATCTATGCTAATTTATGCAAATTTATTCGAAATCACAAAAAAGGCTTCTTCTCCTTCATTTCTCGACCGATTTTGATTTGGTTTGCTTTATATCGTAGAGCTAACTTTGGTACACTAAACTTCTACACAGAATTTTGAAATTGTTCTCCATTAATTAATTATGGTAATTTATGCAAATTTATTCCAAAAATAACAAAAATTGCTTCTTTTCCCTCATTTCTTGACCGATTTTGCCTTATCTGGTAGAGCTAAATTTGGAACAATAAACTTCTACACAGAATTGTGAGATTTTGCTCCATTGATTATTTATGGTACTTTATGCAAATGAAATGAAATTATGTCCCTTCCAGGGCATCAAATTTCTATTTTTTGACCAGTTCAAAAGTGTACCACATAAAATTTACGATATTTGTTGTTGTGAGATGCGGATGAGCGCTACGTCATTGACGTTCTGGTTTATCATATTGAATTGCGTTATGCAGGCGAGACCGCCGAGAGCGTTTCCCTTGTTTATAAAATGCTTAGAATGGCCTAAAACGTATGCAAAATGATTTTGAGACGATTTTGAGCATTTCAAAATTTTACGCGCGCATTGACGCGCGGACGTACGCGCACGCGCGTGTTATTTGACCTGCCATAGACCGGACGGATATTGACCTTGATCATGATAAATATGAATGAGAAATAGCTTTTGGTTATGAAGATATGATCATGAGTTGATTTTCGTAAAATTTTACAAAATGGCGCCTAGATGACATCATCAGTCAAGGTCAAGATTGAAAAAATTTCTGTGCTTTGTAAATATGCCTATACATATGTGTGCCAAATTTCAAGGCATTTGATTCAGCCATTTTCAAGTTATCTTGTCCACAAAAAAGTGGTTAGAACTAAGAAAAATAAAGAATAACTAGATTTGTAATACTTGTTTGGAACAAGTATAGGTGGGCTGGTCCAACTAAAATTTTAGACAAAATGAAGGGTACATTTGAGAAAGCTAATTGTCTCAGCTACATCATACTCAAAGTTCAGCGTAAACGAAGCTAAAAACGACGGAGATATTGCTCGCGAAAGACGGGAATGTAGAATCCAGTTTTGAGAAAAAACCATGTCCCATAGAGAATACACGCAAAAAGTGAAAAATTGACATGCCTCCTTTAATCGCAAAAATATGCCATGATGCCTGTGTCAAAATGAAAAATTGTGGTAGTTACATTTGTAGAACATTGTCTCAGCTAGAATATATCGAAATTTGGAAGAAAATCGATCAATATTTTTCAGAGATACAATCAATTTCCCATAAATATGCTGATGTCATAATATGCAAACTAAAATTTTGAGTTCGGAGGCCATTATGATGACGTCCCGAGTTAATTGAGGGTCAAATGAGACATTAAATCATATCTCCAATTCATACTCTATTTAAATATTTAAAAAAAATTGGGGTCACCTTGCATCCTAAAGAGCTACAATGGATTTTGCATAGGCATATTTTTGCCCATATATGTATTACAAGAGCTCACGCGCACAGAAATTTATGTTTAACGGTCGATCATTCCGTCATTAATAGTCATAAAGAGATAAACATGGTATCAATTTTTTTGTAAAAATATGTGGAATATCATGAAAGAAAAAAAATGGCGATTCTATGTTGTGCAATAGTTTTACGCGCGAAAACGCGCACGCATGCGCGTGTGCGCGATTTTTTATAAAAGGCTTAGAATCGCCTAAAACGTATGTAAAATAAATTTAAGACGATTTTGAGCATTTTGAAATTTTGCGCGCGCATTGACGCGCGGACGTACGCGCACGCGCTCGTTTTTTCACCTGAAATTGACCGGACTGGTATTGACCTTGATCATGATAAATATGAATGAGAAATGGCTTTTGGTTATGAAGATATGATCATGAGTTGATTTTCAGAAAATTTCACAAAATGGCGCCTAGATGACGTCATCAGTCAAGGTCAAGGTCGAAAAAATGTCTATGTTTTGTTCTAATGCCTATACATATGTGTACCAAATTTTAAGATATTTGATTGAGCCATTTTCAAATTATCTTGCACACAAAAAAGTGGGTCGAAATAAGAAAAATAAATAAATAAATAATAAATAAAGGCGATTTTAACAAAAATATAAGGTGGTCTGTATTAGATACAGCCCACCTGATAAATAAATAAAGGCAATTCTAACGAAATTATAAGGTGGTCTGTACGTTATACAGCCCACCTGATAAATTCACCTGGAGTGGTTTTTTGAAAACGCCTGCCAAAGTTTCACCCATTTTTGGTCATGTGACTCTCCTCGCTTCCGTGCTGACACATGCAGGTGACCGATGAGACGCGCATGCACATTACTCACCAGTACGGGCAAACCTAAACAGTTATTATGGGTTTTTACAATAGTGAAAATGGTACCGGTAGTTCAAAAAAGGACATATTCTTTTTTTAATGGTGTTTAGGATGTGTAAATGAACCTATGATATCAATTTTAATGCATTATGATAGTGGTTTATTGATGTACTGTTATCCGATCAATCACTTTTCTGTTTTGTAGAAAAATGTTTTCCTTTCTTTTCTTTCCCCCTCTGCAGAGTGGAGCTAGGATAAACATTTCAGATGGGTCTTGTCCTGAAAGAATAGTCACAATAACAGGCTCTCCAGAAGCAATAAACTTGGCATTCAAGCTTATCACAAAAAAGTTTGATGAGGTAAGAATAGATTTTACAAGTGAAATTTTCTATTTCTATTCAATGGGGAAGATTTCATAATAATCTTAAACACAAAGTCATCAAAGGAAGGTATTTGTTCTATTTTTATGCCTCCGCCACCGAAGGTGGTGCCGGAGGCATCATGTTTTCGGGTTGTCCGTACGTCCGTCCCGTTTGACCGTTATCACAATATCTCAAGAACCATTTAAGATTTAAACTTAAGACTCGGGAATAGTATTTATCACCATAGGAAGACGATCTGATTAGATTTTGGAATACGTAGGTCAAAGGTCACAGGTCACAGAGGTCAACTTATGAAATTCCTTGTATTGAGTTTGTTAGCGCGATATCTCAAGAACCATTTGAGATTTAAACTTCAAACTTAAGGATAGTATGTATCACCATAGGAAGACGATCTGATTACATTTTGGAGCACGTAGGTCAAAGGTCAAGGGTCATAGAGGTCAATTTATGAAATTCCATACATTGAGATTGTTATCATGATATCTCAAGAACCACTGGAGATGTAAAAACTTCAAACTTAAGGATAGTATGTATCACCATAGGAAGACGATCTGAATAGATTTTGGAGCACGTAGGTCAAAGGTCAAGGGTCACAGAGGTCAACTTATGAAATTCCATACATTGAGATTGTTATCATAATATCTCAAGAACCACTGGAGATTTAAACTTCAAACTTAATGATAGTGTGTATCACCTTAGGAAGACAATCTGATTAGATTTTGGAGCACGTAGGTCAAAAGTCAAGGGTCACAGAGGTCAACTTATGAAATTCCATACATTGAGATATTATCGCGATATCTCAAGAACCACTGGAGAATTTTCACTTCAAACTTAATGATAGTATGTATCACCATATCATAATATTTCAAGAACCACTGGAGATTTAAACTTCAAACTTAATGATAGTGTGTATCACCATAGGAAGACAATCTGATTAGATTTTGGAGCACGTAGGTCAAAGGTCAAGGGTCACAGAGGTCAACTTATGAAATTCCATACATTGAGATTGTTATCATGATATCTCAAGAACCACTGGAGATTTAAACTCCAAACTTGTTTAAATTGCTCTATGGCGGAGGCATCATTTTCGACTGCGCGCAGTCAAAATTCCATCTAGTTCATCTTGAAATAACTTCATGACAAATATTTAATAGTGCATTCATAGGAAGAAAAAAAAAATTTCCTATTGGGGACCGGGGGAAAATGCAATGAATTATTGATGATTTATTGCATTTTCTTTGTTTTTTTTAAATTTGTGGGGGCTGCACCCTATGCTAGCCCCCGCTGTGTACAGTCATGATTCAGTGGCAAAGCAATGGCCTCATAACTGTTGAGGCCCCAGGATCAAAACAGTGTCAATATGCTATATTAGTGCCCTTTTGTGAAGCATTAATCCTCATTACTGTCAGTTGTGACTTAAGGCTGTAGGTCCCCTAGTTGATAAGCACAGTAGCACACACATGCTTTAGCAGTCACGTAAAACAAACACTCGCATAGTATTATTTAATAAGATTAGTGCTGTAACATCACGGATATCTCCAATTCCGTTTAACTGCCAGTCAAAACCGGACTGTTTTCGGTTAAACGATTAAAAAAAAAAAATTATAAAAAAAAAAAAAACGGGAAAACGAAACCGTCCAATTGAAAACGGAATCTGCCATGGGCGGTCGGATACCGGACGGTTAAACGTTTGACTACAGCACTAAATAAGATCTGAGAATGTTTACTTTTATCTAGATCTATTGGGAATAAATCATTGTCAAAATCATTCCATAAACTGGGGTAAAAAAAATAATTATTCTATCTTTATGACCAACAGTGTACATGTACGTATTTTAAGGAATATTACTTCAATTGTTTTAATTATTCTTTGTATATTGCTTTGACGGAGGATTTTCCAAATCGAATTGTTTGTTCTATATGGGTCATTCCATCGGGTTGGGTCATAAATTGTGACATGAAGGTGCAAAATTCAGAGTTGGTAAATCATTTTTGTAATGTTATATCCTGTTTCTAACATATCCTACAATAGATTCCATTGCAATTGTGTGTATTCCTTTGCACACTTTCATTTAAATGAAAAAACACACAACAAAATACTAACGTTACATGGACATCATTTTTTACTTGCTCATTTATTTTCTGATCTGAAACTTTGTCACAGTCTGTACTCCCCTCTTTTTTGTGTGGAAAACATCAAGATGATGGGAGCAATAGTTAAGAATACTCAAACTCACCAACATCATATGAATTTATAAACATGAAATAAATGAGAAACTAGCAATTTTCAGATCATGTTTTTCATCAAAAGGGTAATCTTTTCTCTTGCAAAGAAAATTTACATTCCAAGAAATGTGCCAATTATTTGATGCATGAAACATATTTAATGAGATGATAACACAATTGAAAACCTGCAAGATTTATGGTCTATATTCACCTCAACACCTACTGTTTCCCATGTTACATGGACATCATGTAGTAACATCCGTATGATATTAGAGTAACTATCCTCTTATACTCATTGAAACATGACGGACTACATCAAATGTCATCTGAAATATATTTCATCCATTGATCATTATATAAAAAAATAAAAAATATTCACACAAGAGGTATTTTGATAGATATTAATGATCAAATTTTTATCTTCTTCAAAATAGTGATTACATTGGAAAGATCTTTGTTTTCCAGAAAGTTTTTGATGACTTGTCATTTTGCCTGCTCTCTTGATCTCTCTCTGCCGGAGCTGAATCCTCAAGGGAGGTAGAGGAGCCATGAATGAAATGGATGCAGCAATCTAATAAATATGCATGAAAAGAAATAAATAAAACCTCATGAGTAAAGAATATTAAATGAGATTTTAAAAAGTATAAAAAAACTGTAAATTGTTTCTGTGACTTTTCATTTCTAACGTGTGTTGTGTTTGCTGATTATAAGTACTTCTATCTAGATCTGTTGTAAAATCAAATTTTAAGAATTAAGGATCAAACAATTACACAGAGGATTGCAAGATGGATAGGGAGGCATCATCCTCACTTTTCGCTTGTTGCATGCCCAAATAGAAATAGGTATTATTATTGGTTGTTCATTTTGATGAATTATTTTTTTAAGTTCAATATTTGTGTTAAATTATTATTTTTGTTAAAAAATTATATATGTTATTTATCATTATTTGGAGGGGGAGGGAAGGTGTTGAAGCCCCTTATCCCTCACTTCAACCTTTGGATGAGGGGGAAGGGGGAGCCAGATGGAAAACATCAATAACTATTTAATTTTTTTTTTTAAAGGGCTCATTACATTATGTATCCCATTTTAATTGAATCGGGGGGGGGGGGGGAATGCCCTCCCCATTTAGCCCATTCTTCTCTATCTCAACCCCAACCCCCTTTTGGCCCAAAAGTTGGATATTTCGGGTCTCAGATTAAACTTCCTAACTTGAAGGAAACAAAGTTCAATAACTTGTGTTTTTCGTTAGGCTTAGCCATCATTGTTCAATGACAATTAATGGCATTATATAAATAATATTAATTAATTTATCACTTGTAAAAAAAATTCTGAGGCATAGGAACATCATTAATATCATTATTTACAGGATTCTTATAACAAAATTCAATTTCTGTTTAAGAAACTAGCTTTTTAAGGGAAAAAGTCCGGCATTGATTTTGCATGTTTCGTTATCAGTATGTGGGACAACAGTAAAATATTCACTCACTTTTGATGGTTTTAAAACTGTTTTAAGTCATAAATAACACAAATTTAAGCCAAATTACATTTTTAAAAAAATGGAATTTCATTGTCCATGATAATAATTTGGGACATAAACATAACTAAATAAACATATTACATACCAATTTAGGAGTTGACGGGCAAAAATGGCTAACCACCGTCAAATGGACATTGTCACGTTTGTGGTTGCATCGTAGGGGTAGGTTGTCGCACACCATAAAAAAACATGTCTGCGCATTCGTGAATAACTAGCAGGTCATTTTAACACCCAAAACTGAAGCTAGTGGGCTGGTTTGATCTCAAACACGGTGTTTGACACCGTAATTTCATACCGACGTTACCAAATTTCGAAGGACATCGCGGCAGATTTTTGTGGTAAATTAATTATTTTCGTATATTTGCCGACCTAATTAATCGTCATTCTTTCTACATATGTTCATGAGGGGTTGTACCTTCCTAATAAGATGAAAATTTCTGAGAAAATATCCTGCTAAATTTGTGTAAAATGTTAGAATTCCCGCTGTTACAAAAAAAAAAGTGCCTAGGACATTGTTGGTAACTTGGGTATTGTGTTTTTTCAATAAGGAATAACTTGCTGATTTTTTGCACATTTCACTTGAGCTTCTCAGACATAGTAGGGGTATTAAAGGTGACATGTTTTAAGTAGGAAACATTGCATTATGAAGAATTTTTTTCCAGAAATAAGTTCATGAAAATGACATGTTTTCATGTCACAACTTTCACCCTTAAAATCGCTGAGACATCGGTAGTAAAACTCTCACCCCCCAAAAAATGTGATGAACAAATCTTTGTTTTCATGTTTATTTATTCTGTACTACATTACTCTTAAATAAAACATACTTTTATTTTTCTAAAAATACATTTAAATTTGAGAAAATAGCTTCTAAACATTCAAACCGTGAAAATGCTGAAAAGACCCAACCCGATTGAATGACCCATATAGGCGTGAAGTAAATGGTCTTGGAACGTGAGACGTAGCTGTACTTAACAATTTTTATTACAAGCTTGTAAAGTACAGCTACATCTCACGTTCCTTGACTATTTTCTTCACGCCTACATTTTCTGGAACATCCGTTGTCATGTCAGAGTTGAGAATTCTCGCACTTATATATATATATAAATATATTTTCCATATCCAGTGCTGTAACTACAGGGGGCACAGGGACCTCAATCGAGTTGTGAACAAAAATATATTAAAGAAAGAGAAAGAAGGGGATAATGGATGAGAA